GCTTATTTAAATGAGGAGACCGAGCTGTTTTGTAAATTATTGCAACCAGGTATTATGCATTTACGTGATGAAGGCATAGATAACTAGCAACCTCTAGGCCAGGGGTCGGCAAGTAAGTTTGGCATCGGGCCAAAAAAAATTTTCGCCACTAGATGACAGGCCAGAACATAGTCAAAGGATAATTTCTTGATTTGAGCCCGAAAACTCAAGTTTGCTCAAACTCATCGTGAACTTACCTGGGTAAAAACCGAAACTGGCTTCGTACTACAGGCCACAGGTCTTTAGGTGACTTTTGAACTTAACACACACTAAACAAAAATGGTAAACAACAGCACATGGTAAGGAAAAAGAAAAAGTGAGTCACCTGTTTGGTTAGGGGAGTGGCTGACGGAATCCCGAATGGGAGCCATGCCTACAAAACAAAGAGCAACACACCATGAGGAAAACCAGCTACATGAAGCCTTGAAATAGGCCTCAACACCAATTAAACGGCCACATGCTAAGACCATGCAGCAAACATAATCACTTATTTCTACAGCTATGACCTAAGAATTTCAATTCAACACAAAATGAAAACAGTAGAATGTAAACAAAGATCAAGATCTTTCATTAGAAGACATGCTACTTTTTACATGAGTGACTCCATTAGCTTGACTGTACAGAAATGGCAACCACTGGCAAAAATAATGGCTTTCATTACATTACTTCAGAATTGTATACTAAAAAAGCAACTGGGGACATAAAATATTCTTTTGGATATTTTGGAAATGTATGGGAGAACTAACACAGTCAATCAGACAAAGCTTACAATCTAAAAATGATAAAATGATGGTAAATTTATTGACCTGACTACTAAAAACAAACAAACAAAAAAAAAAAACGAAGATACATTTTGATTTTTAGTTTGGGGAAAAAAAAGTACCCCATGAACACACATATCTGTCCTTGTATGTAGGCCTGTCACGATAACAACTTTTTGTTGTGCGATATATTGCCCCAGAAATATTTAAGTAAATATAATGGGCGATATATTGCGTCGCCAAAAATGATTGAGGTCATGTACATATATTGCGCGATAAGTCGATATATTGATTATTGCGACAGGCCTACTTGTATGTTTACCTAACATGCCTGAAACACCTCTGCCTATCAGCAATGGCTAACTTTAAACATATAGGCCTACATATCATGGATCTCAGCACACCTGGCTGATCCGTAACCCACAAGGTCATTACTCAGAGCACCAGTACCTGAGAGGTGGCTTTGGGCGCAGTGTAGGACAGACCTCTCAGTTGTAAGCTCCCCTGGCTGGCTAGAGTTGAGCTGCACTTGAGTTCCCAGGGTGGCAGCGAGCACCGTGAGGGATTGCCCACGCTTCAACAGCTGTTTCTGTTTGTGCTGACAGAGATGTGACGGAACTTCACAGAGCGGGTACCGAGGCAGGGCTTGGGGCTGGCCGCTGGGCGGGGGCCAGGGCTTGGGGCTGGCCGCTGGCTGGGGCCCTCTTGGCATTGCTGATGGCGCAGATTACAGTGGAGGTGCTGCTGTTCTAATTGGCAGACTGAGGCTGGCTGAAACTGGACTTGATATGTTCTGGCACTGAAATCAAAATAAAAACAGGAATTCAAAACATATTTTTCCCCATTACTGGATTACCACTTACTACAATAACATTTTGTACCCTACATGCGAAACTCTGTGTATGTCAGTTTTCTTTGTGGAATTTTTCCACACCCGGAGATGTAAAAAACATCCCAAAAGTAAAACAAAAGAAATAAGTTTAATCTCATTAGAAACTGACCTCATTTTAAACTGAAGGCCAATAATCTAAATAAGATAGGACTGTGTTTAAGTTATCTACTTGGTTTTCTTATAGAACATATAGAGCCAGCCAGTGTTTCTGCTAGGTTTACAACTTTGGGGGACATATTTGATGTGACATTTTCGGACGCGCACTCTCTGTCCGCTGGTGGGAGTGTGCTCACTTGTGTAGGGCCCTATGAAATCAATTTTATTTTTTACCAAATTCCACGGAGAGCGAAACTCTCAAGCGCTCAGTCAGCGTGTTTATCGAGTGAAAATCTGTGTTGAACGCCTCTCACACACATACTGGCGTGTAAAATCTAAGAATTTATTAGCCAATGGCTAATGTTATACATTATTTAGTCGCCCAGAGTAAGATTTAGTCGCATATGCGAGTGATTTACTCCCAATGTAGAGGGTTGTACATTTTACATACATTTGATATAATTAGGATTCTTTGATAAATAGAAAGTTCAAAAGAACGTCTCGGTTACGTATGGTAACCCTCGTTCCCTGAAGGAGGGAACGGAGACGTCACGTCGGATGACCGACGAAATTGGGATCT